TTTGAGCAGTGTGCTTATTCTAAATGAAACAGAAAGTCATGTTAATTTCAGTTCTGTCTTTGCTTGACTTTTTTGTTGTAAAAACATATTAGAGAAAATGAGGAGATGTTCATAGTTTCAATTTAGGAAATTGGCTCAGTTGCTGTTTGGTAAACAATTTATTTATTCACATTTTGTGTTTTCCATTACAACTTACCTTTTGTATCAGATGTTGGCTGAGCTGTTTGACTTGGTATCTTCACTTCATCATATACAACCTCTTCCTGTTTGTCAGCTGGAATTAAGGAAAGTTCAAATGTCTTCAAGTATTACAAAAATAAATTTAATAAAATGTTAAAATGACATCGTTTTAAAATCTGCTTTCCTTACATTGCAATTTATCATATTTGAAGAACCTGAAGGTGATAATAATCCTATTAATTTTTATTTTAAAAATACTGACCATACTAAATGTCCTCCACACCTTTTGGCACCAAGTAGAGATGTGGAAAAATATATAGATCTGTCCTGTAAGAACTACCACAGACTACCGCCTAATGGTGGGCTGGGTATCTATCTCTACAGCAACCCCATTTAATTAAATCCACATTACACTCGACAGAGATCAGACAACCACAGAGAGCATCATGTTAATAAAACATATCAACACAAAGCTCACCTCTTGGCTGTCTCTTCCTTTTGAAAGTGACCGAAGCATACTGAACCTCGTCCTCTGCCATCTCCACAGCCTTACTGCTAAAGGTTGCCTGGTTTGCCTGCAAAAATTACCATAAACATTGAACAAAAAAAATTACCATCATTTAGGAGAAGTAAGCATTTCCCTTTAGTCTCAAGTATCTTTTATGCTCTGACAATTTAAAACTTTTACTGTTTTTAAACTAGAAAAGTAATTTATTTTATTACTTGATCTGGAAAAAAAGCAATAGGCCAAAATGATGTCTTGTTTAGGAAACATATCTGTTTTAGACAATTATAATTCAGTGAATGGAGTCACTAAAGGGCAAGTTAAGCAACTGCACCTGGAGTGTTGCTTAAAACATGTTTGACCCTGTGGTCTGGAAAGAGGAAGAAGTCCTGTGAGAACTACCACTTCATTTACTTCATTTTCTTTCCTCATTAAGTTTTTAGCATGTAAAAGTCACACCATCTCACACAGTGTGAAACAATTTAAGTGTCAGGCTTTCAGCAGACCACAAGCAGATTTTTGACTTTGACAGCTCCTGCAAATTAACAGTGAATTAAGTGAATAAATGTAAAGATATAATATATAAGCAGACTTTTGTGGACATAAATCTACTTTTAATTAATCCATACAGCTGATAAAACGGCCCTCTTTACTTTTATCATAAACTAAAGCAGCACCCTCTAGTGGCTGAGCAGAATCATGGTAGAATAATACAAAAAACAAGCGGTTCTTTCTACTTTGAAACACATAAAAGAAGTTAAAAACTGAGCCATAAGATTTAGTTGCACACAAGCAAGAGTTCAATTTTATAAAGATTTTAATGACAAGAGTTTTTTTTTAAATTTTATACAAAGCAATCCTTGTCAACCTATTGAATTCACTAATACGACAACATATGTAATTTTAAATGGAAAACCTTTATTTTTGCAAATATTCACACATTTGGACTTTGATGCCTGCAAATGTTAGTACAGGAGCAAATTTACCACTGTGTCATTTTTTTTTTTTTTCCTTTTACTAAACGTTTGGGAACTGACATATCTGTTGTATTTGCTGCTTCGTTTTCCACCACACATTTTCATTGACATTGGTTTTCTGAAGTCTTCCTGAGCTGATGTGATGATATTAGTTAGAGAATAATCCCAGTTTTTAACGCAGTGCTGCCTGAGGGATCAAAGGTCATGAGCATTCATTGTTGGATTTTGGCCTTGCAGCTTTCTTTCAGAGATTTCTTGTGATTCTCTGAATCTTTTGATGAAATTTTAGGCTGAGATAAAATCTCTAAATTCACTGCAGTTATACATTGAGAAACATTCTTAAAATGTTGGATTATTTGCTCATGCAGTGGTTCACAAGGAGGGAGACCTTGCCCATTCTTGCTTGTTAATGACTGAGCCTTTCAGGGTTGATGTTTCCATTTAGCCTGTTCACCTGTGAAATGTTCCAAACAAGAGCTTTGTTGAGTATTCCTCAACTTCCTCAGAGCCCTGTTTCCTCTGTCTCAGTGTTTCTGGAACATTTTGCAGGCACCAAATTTCAAATGAGTGAATATCTGCAAAAACATAAAGTTTATCCGTTTGAACATTAAATATATTGTCTTAGCAGTAAATTCAGTTTGGTTGAAAATAATCTGCAAAACTTTGTATTCTGTTTTTATTTATTTTATGCACAGTATCACAAATTAAATTCAATGTATTTGAATTACAGATGTAATAGCATTAAGAAATAATCAAAAATAATGAGGAAAAACATATACAGCATTTTACTATATCATCAGGTTAGAACATCTGGCAACAGGCTGAGGTCTTAAGTTCTGTTTTTTAGTTGTGGGTTTTAGTATAAATATTATTTTATATAGTTTAACATGTAGAGATTAAGAGTATTTCTTTTCTTGCATAATTTCTAAATAACTTGATTAAATAAACAAGATGGGCACATAAAATATGTACTAATGTACTAAACAGGACCCTTAAAAATCGTATAAAAATGTATACAAAAAAAAATACAAAAAATCTGTTTATGAGGGTAAACCGGTGACAACAAACTCAGACTTTTACTCACTATGAGAGATGAAAACAGGAAAATAAAAGTCCAGTCCTAATCGGTTACTTATATTTACGTTCAAATATTCCCTGGTGTCGTTTGGAGATTTAAACATTGTCTGACTTATTCTTTCCAACTAATACTTTAGATCTTAAAAGAAGGTATCTGGAACATCTGTCCATACTACAACTAAGAATTACCTAATTAAAAAAACTGACAAAATAAGACAATAAGTTCTTCTGTTTTCTTCTCTAATGTGTGAGTAAAATATTTATAACTTACTTTTTGATTGTGGTTGTTTCTTATTCTTGAAGACGACTGAAGCATACTGAATGTCTTCATCTGCCATTTCTTGTCTTAGAAATGCTTTGCCCATAAATGTTTAGCAGATGTGAGTACATCTACTAAACATAACTGCTTTCTGTTTACTGGAAGAGTTGCTATAGACTACACAGGTTCAAGTGAGAATAGTAACGACATCAAGTGACAAAGACAGAAAAAAAGGAAGTTGAATTAGTTGAATGCACAAGAATCCAAAATCAACCATTAATTTTCTGTTTATCACTGTTTGTATTGTGAATTTCACAGAAATTAGATAATAATATTCAAGGTATTTTAGAGTCTTTGATTCTTGCATATGTTTTTCAGCTAAAAGCAGAAGGGCTAACTAAGTTCAGTGGTTTTTCAGTTTAGAAGACAGATCATTTTTAAAACTGTTCTTACAAGAAAACCCTCGACTTAAAGCTGAGGAGCAGACAGACCCAGTTAAAAGGTCATCGGTAGCCATATTGGCATGTGCTGGAGACTTGAAGCTGTTGCTGGACCTTAAATACCACTTCTCCAACCACATTCCTGTCACCTGTCTTCAATCAGATATCGTGACATGAGGGTTTATGATGTTGAAACACCAAACGATTCCAGGAACATCACTGAATAGATATCCAGATGCATCAGTTGATGAATTTCCAGTGGGTGGACAAATATTGATGCTTATTAATGTTTCTGTTTCAGCATGTGTCTAAGGATGCATTCACAAAGTTCATCGGCTTTAACGCTTGTTTGTTTGCCTTGACAATCCAGGTTATTTGGGGAGTTGTGAATGTGAACTTGAATTAATGATTAAGACCAAAGAAGCAATCTCTTCCATTTAAAAGACAAGTGACCCTGACAAAAACAAAGGTGGAATGAGAAGCTTGTGGTGAGAACAGAACAGAGTAAGTTTCAGAAAATAACCCATAAGATGAAAATAAGGCATTTAAAAACCATACTGCTGAAAAAGCACCTGAAAAACCACTGAACTTCAGCAAAAGAGCATTATGTAGAAGAAGTGGTTATTTCATGAGGCAAGCCTGTCACACAAAAACCCTTCTGCTTTTAGATGAAAAACATATGCATGAATCTGTTTGCACCCCTAATACCCTGGTGTTCTGCCTGTTCCAGCAACACACCACCTATCTACCCGAAGCTCCACCCAGGAGCTTCAGTCTCCAAGCCGAGCTCCAGACCCATCGAGCATCACTTTCCCATGTCTCCCCCAGACTAGTGGCAGCAGCAATAAACAAACACCTGGTGGAAGGGCTAGACATGCAAGAACAATCATTGTTGTAATGATGTGCTGAAGGGGGAATGTCAGAAAGGGTAGGAGGTTCTTAAAGAGACAGAAGTCAATTTCAAGGTGTCTGATATGGCTATGGTGCAAAGTCAAATTTCCTTTAAGTAGTTTTAGATATAAATAGCATTTTCATAGCAACTGAAGGCAATATTACTTTATTGTGCTATAAAGTGGCACTTTAATATGCCTTACATTTTACCCACCGCCATGCTTAAGAAACAGTAATCTCCACACTGGTCCCCATTTTGTCAAACCTTCAACAAAATGAGTCAAGCTTTTATTTTCTTTTTTTTTTTTAAAGCCACATACTAAACATTTAGCTTTTAATTTATCAGTGACAGAAGACATGAATACCAAAAACTACAGTATGTGACTCTGGGCATCATCGTGCATATCACAACATAGCACTGAGTTAGGAAGGAGTTAATATTGTAAATTACATTATGGCCTCTGTCTGCCCTTTCCATCTAATCCACTCTTCTTATTACAACCCTCCATCCCATTTCCGATATCCTGCCTCAGTTCCTTCTCTCCCTCTGTATCCATTCTCTTGTTATCTCCCCTCTCTCTCCACAGCTTCCAGTCTCCTCCCACCCTTTTTACTCCACCCCTGGTGTCCATGCGCCCGGCCCCTTCATTAAACCCAGTAGGACAGAGACATCTATTTTGCTGGCAGTCACTCCACCAGACTTCACGGGAGGCTCCCTCACAAACAAGGAAACTCTACACGCTGACTCAGGCTTGGAACGACGAGATAGAGCCGGCTGCCAAATCATAATCCCTTTACTTCTGAGAGAAACCTCAGTTTCCAAAATATCTTTTTTCTAAACTAACATGGAGCTCCATGGAGTGCATAAAATCTTTCATCCAAACCACCTTGGTGAGGAGAAGCAACAGATGCTGAACCTGAACCGACGCCTTGAAGCCTACCTTAGTCGGGTCAAATGTCTAGAGGAGGACAATGAAATGCTTGCAAACGAGATCAAAGTTTTAAGGTACAACAATCAGGGGACCCTGATACGCAGGAGAGGCTTAGAGGAGGAGCTGAGACAGGCGAGATTGGAAGTGGATGCAGCCTGGAGGGAGAGGGTCCTCACAGAGGTGGAAGTTCAGAAACTGACTGAGGAGATACAAGCCCTAGAGATTCAGAGACAGATGGAAGCTGAGACCAAACTGCTGGCGAAGACAAAGATGGAGCAAAGCAGGAAGGAGCTGGAAGATGAGCAGAGAGCACAGATCTGGCTCAGGGAGAAGGTCAACCAGCTGGAACATGAAATGAAATTCCTAATTCAAACCCACGAAGAAGATGTGGCCCACCTGGAGGCCACTCTGTCCCAATCAAGAGCCGAAATGCTTCCAAACCGGATTCACAGGAGCAAACAGACGCCAGAACTCCTCAAGATGGGGCATGAGTTTTCCCAGAGGGCAACCAGAGCTTGGCAGGAGGCCTCAGAGGCCTACCAGGGCCAGTTAGCTCAGCTGGAGGAGTCACTTGATCAGGCCAGGAGTCGTTTGAGTCAAGTTTGCTTGGAGAAACGTGAGAGCCAGCTGAAACTTCAGACCTTGGAGAAGGAGATTGCCTCAGCTCAGGACGTCAAGCTACATCTGGAGGAGACTGTAGCACAGCGCAGGGAGGAACACTGTCAGGAGATCCAGCAGCTCGGGGTGAGTAGTCTGTAAAATGTCCTTTTAACAAGAAGAAACCTCCAGCAGGACTAGAACCTGGATCACCATGAGCAATCGTTTACCACTGCTTGAAAAAGACAACATTTACAGAGAACTGATGCAAAAACACATAAGTACTGATCCAGGGGTAATTTTTATGTAACTGAAAAAAGTATTTCAGGATGCAAAAGCTAAATGTTAATAGAATTTTACTTATTTATAAGATTCCCCAAAATGTTCTTAAGTTTTCTCGTATCTGTTGCTGTTTGGATTTAAAAATAATCATGAAAAAGCATTTTATCGTTTTATCACTCTTATGATGAAATTAATATTACTACTCATTCAGACTTTACATATAGTTTTAATTAATTGAGGATAGAACGAGTGCTGCTTTGAGTTTTTGCATTCAGCAAATTGTGGAACTGGGTTGTTTCTGTCTGAAAAGGCCTCCAGAGGGATGTACAATGAGTCATTCCTGGCTGAGAAAATAAAGTGACAAACCACAGCCTAATGTGAATTAATTAGCAGATGGAGTTTAGACTTGTCTGCTGTTGCGTTTTAATGTCTTCTGACTTGACAAAGTCTGAAGAGATTTACTTATTAATTAAACACTTGTTAGTGATGCAAATATTAATCTAAAACATTTTTAATGCTTAATGCAAAGGTTTAATGTAGCTCTACTAAAGACTTCACTTTGTGTTGAAATTCTTCTTTCACCCAGCATGAACCTTTTGCATTTTAGTAGAATTAACATATTTTGTTTGAAAGCAACTGGGAGCCTCATGTTTATGAATTGTGATTATTGGGATTTGCTCTGGTGACTTATGAGGTCTCAGCACACAAAGATGGGGTCTTTCTAGGTTTTTTCCCAACTGTGCTCCAGAATGACTGTCATCAAATGTCTTCCCAGGAAAAATAGATCAGCTTATTAATCTTCACAATCATTTTGCCTGGATAGTTTAAGGTTATAATCATATGTAGGTTATAAGATCTAAGTGTTGTCTTTTTTTAAGTAACATCTATTATCCTTTAGCAAGAGTTGAGCAAAGAGTAAAAATAGAAGAACAAAGAGCTTATCATGCTTACTCTAACTGCTTCCCTTTCCTGTTTGACTCCCTGTTTTGGCAGGAACACTTAGAGGAGCTGGAGGTGGAAAAAGTGGAGTTGGGCCAGCAGATAGACCACCTCCTTCAGGAGAACCACAGCCTGATGCAGATGAAGATGTCTCTGGGCCTGGAAGTTGCAACATACAGGTATGCAGCACTAAAAGCAGAGGACTCTGGCTTCCTAAAGCATTAATGGCTTAAAACATTAAAAGCCTCTGCAAGTTGAGTGCACTGGGTGTCTATATAAAAGCATGAAAATAGGACAGTAAAGTATGTCAAATTTTATGACTTCAGTTTACACTATTAGTTAAACACGTCTAGGCTGCTGCTCAGAATAAATCAATAACCATCCATCACTATGAGAACAGACAAACAAAAAGCTGTCTGAGGCGAGAGTGGCCGTCTGAACCTAAGGTCATTTCATTGTTACTGCAGCCTCTGCTGCTTTGAACAGAGTAACGTATCCTTTATGAAGCAGAGCCTCCTCACTCGTTCTCCCCCTCCTCAAAGTATTGACCCTCACCCTCTTCTTGAGAGATGTGGCCGATCTATGAGCTTTGGGAGTCTAGAGTATCAGCACAGGAGAGAGAGAGGAGAGGTCATTACTGAAGGACAAACCTCTGTATCATTTATTGCTTGTGGATCTGTTGTTATCATGAGCTGCAGGTTATCAGCGATGCGCAACATTTTGATCAAATTAGATCAATGCAGCTAATTATAAGGGTTTGTGCTGGAATCCACGTGTGTGAATGGGAACATGGGTATTAGTGCTGCATGAGCTGCTTGCAATATCAGCTGTCAGTTGTGTGCTCCCAAGTGCCCCCTTATTTTGTGTGTGTGTGAGAGAGAAAGGAATTGATGGCAGAGGCTTGTGCAGATGGCTCCTCAGTGGCGGGGCCTTTCCTCATTACCATAACAACGGACCTCAGTGTGGAGCTCCTGCTGGAAAGCAGCTAAAGTCTCTTTGGACTTTTCCTCTTCCCACTGTTCAGTGTGTAGCATTATGCTGCCTTTCACTTTTTTAATGCATAAACATTGTGTTGTTTGTGTATGACTGTAATATTTTCTCATGCTGTTACCTCCACAGAGCTTTGCTGGATGGTGAGGGCCTTGGAAGAGATGCAGTTTTGTTGAATAAGCCAAGAAGCATTTCAGTTAGAGGTAACTGATGAAAACATTAAGCATACATAAGGAACATGAAGTCATTTTGCTGCTGCAGTAACCTATATCAGATAAAAAAAGAGAAGAAGAATACTTCCTGTTTTTAGAGATAATTTCATTTAGTCTAAGTAGAAGCTCATACTAGGGTACATGACAGTTTGTAATCTCATTAGTTGCACAGGAGCTTTGGAATGGAGGGGCTTGGTGAAAGGGGCTGACGTAGGCACTTTGGGTCCTGTAACACAAGCCAACCAGACCCCAATGGATATTGAGCCATATGGGTTCCCTTCCCGTAGCCTGGACATCAATGAAAGGAAATGACGATCGATATCTCCCCATTAGTGTCCAGACCCACTTCAGAACACAGATTTTAATAATGGTTTGGTGAGGCAGACTGTATCTAACTCATTAGACAGTGTTCTGCAGTGGTATTAGATATCATACCATATTTGACAGAATTTTCCAATTAATTAGCTTTGTTTATTTTTTTTTTTCTAAAAGCATTTGTACAAGCCATTTTTATCCCAGCAGCTTGGTTCATTGTTTATTCATGACTTCTCTCCACCACAGATGCAGTTCTGAGTCCCCATGGGGTTAAAAAGAATTACCCGATCCAGCCGTCTGCTAGCCTCAAGACTACCTACTCCTCATCTGGCCAAGGCAGAACAGGGTCCATAATAACTGCAACACAATTCTTGAGCAGAAGATCTGCAGCTTTAAGAGAACCCCCAAAGACTTCAAGCAAACCTGCAGAAACAGCTGTAGTAAAAGCTGCAACTGTGGAAAGCCCCTATCCAAAAATAGTTCAGAATGGAGCAGCTGAAAACTTTAGGCCAGAGGAAGTTCATGAAAAAGTCACCTATGCTGAGCCTTTATCACCTCCTAATGAGAAAGATGCATTTGACAAAATGTCTGAGGATGAAGATAAAACAGTGGTAGAAAGAGTCATTGAGTCAGTTGTCAGCCATACAGCAGTGTTAGGTCTCAGCAGGGAGGAACCTTTAAATGAGAAAGGTGGCAACCAGCAGTTCACAGCACTCAGCCCCACATCCTGTGATGTCAGAATAACGGAGCTACCATGTAATTTATCAGATGAACTATTGAAGGATCTGACCTTTGAAGGGGAAACTGAACAAGAATATGTAGAACACCTAAGGGCTCAAGCTGATGGGTCGACAAAGGCAGAGCATGTTCAAGATGAGACTTCAGATTCAGAAACTGAAGCGATGCTTGAACCGACCTTTGAATCCAGACCAAGTAGTCCTGAATCTGAATGTGAGCTCCTTGAAAGTATTTTTAACAGAAATGATGAAAGCATTTCGAATGTTGATGCAGTTGTTATGAGACAAGAAAGTAACAGTTCCACTGTGGAAGTTAATGGAAAGGATGATGAGGACAAGTTGTATCCTGATGGGGAAGAGATGGATACATGGGACAGTGTAATAGAGAGAAAGGTCAGTGAAAGGGTAGATGATGGTGTAGAAAATGAAGAGAAGAAGCAACATGCTGAGCCAGAGGAGGACATATCAACAAAAGATCCAGAGGAGAACAGAAAGGTTGGTCAAGAAGGCAACATGGACTTTGTTCTGCCACAGGTAGGTGAAGGACACCATGCTATATGGGAGCTGGAGCATGTTCCACCTCCTGACAAAGAAGACGGAGGGGATGAAGACGACTCTCAGAATGTCTCTATGTCATGGAGGACAGAGCTGGAGAGTGACAGCTACGCTCAGGATAATACTCTTGCCGATACTCGACCCCTGATCCGATACAAAAGTGATGACACTGACGCCAACACTCAAGCGTCGCACATTGAGGAAAGTGAGTCCAGTGAAGGTGAACAGGAAAAGAAAGCTGGAGAGGCAGGAAGCGGAACATGGGCTGAGAACAAGCCAAAGACATTTGGAACCATGGAAGATCTGTGTGAGGAAGTGGAAGAGGAGACAGTGGATGAAGACTATAACATGGGATACACTCATGTTGAAGATAGGGATGCTGATCAGGGTAAAAAAGTAAGTGAGTATGATATACTTTTGAAAGATGCTGAAAAGGTTGAAGAAATGGAGATGAGTGGTGTTGAGGGACATTCAGAAGAGGAAACAGAAGAACTTACTGGAGCCACTGTACACACCAATATAGACTATGACGAGGAACTGGAGACAGACAGATTAGTGGAACAAGAGTTAGAAAATTTGTCAACAGATAGTTATAGTGCTCATTTTGGACATGAGCAGGTCAGAGAAGATATCTTAGAAATGGATCAAAAATCCATCAAGGAAATGAATGAACAAGAAACTACAGGTAACACATCTACCTGTGAGACTGAAAACTATGAGTCTGCGTTGACCACTGCAGTTATAAGCAAGAGTTTAGAAAGGCAGTTTTTCAGTGATTCATCTCCTGAGATACAGTTGACAAGCACTCTGACTGAGGAGGAAGTGAAAGAACAAGAGACTGAAAAAGCAGCAGGAGGTTCTTCCAGTGAGATCGTTAAATCTGAATCTGAACCAGCTACTACAATTACAAGAGATGTTTCAGAGATGCAACTGTTCAGTGATCCATCTGTTGAAATATCTTCAACAAACACTCAGCTTGTGAATGAGCAAAAAGGAACTGAAAAGTTAATACAGGACATAGATTCATCTGAGCCTGAAATGAGTGTTAACTATGAACAGGTATCTTCCACTATAGTTGAAGATGTGGCGTTAGAGAGGCAACTCTTTAGTGAATCATATGTTGAGATAAATTCAACAAACAAGCTGACTGAGGAGGACGTCCATCCTATTGATCAAGAAGCTGTAGATAACCCAGAGACAAGAGAGGACGACGATGAGCACTATCTGGTGTCTCATGTTGATGGAACTGAAAACCACTCTGAATTGAAAGATTTCCTTAGCAGGTCAGATATGAAAGACAGCAACATAATAGAAGCTATAAACTCTGCTTTACTGGTAACAGCAGATTCAAATTCTCCACAAGATGTTGATGCTCCCACTGAGAACACCGAGGTGCTTCCTGAGGAAAGATCAAATGTATCCCAAGAACATCCCACTGAGGATGCTGAGGACTTTCACAAGTTTCTTGAGGAAACAACTGAATGGGAAAACCCAGAAAACACAACAAAGGAATCTGAAATGAGTGACCAGATCAAACACGATCTAAAGAATGATAACCTTCACAAAATATCAGACAAAATAATCATACATCAGGAAGAGCCTGTTGAAGTTTCCATTGACAGTGCCCTGAATGATAACGACATTTTCAAAGTGAAGGATGTAAAAGACAACAGTTTCCATAGTCACTTCACCTCTGATGGAAAGAATGACTTCTGGGTGTCCTCTTTGGAGACCGGTGCCACTTACACACCAAACGATGCCTGTAATGAATCTGCTGAGCAAACCAATCATAATCAAGGATTTGCTGACAACAGGGATTGGGGGAACTTGGAGAATCCAAAGGTAGTTAATGGGACCTCCAAGGTGGATATTGACCTGTCTGGCCTGGATCCAACAAAAGAACAGGAACAGGGGAATGCTGAAGTGAAGAAGGTGTTTTGTAAAAATGTAGTTGAGGGCGAGATGGTCCATTCTGAGGAATCAGATGTTGAGGCCGAATCTTGGTCATCTGGAGAAGAAACAGCCTAAAGATGTGAATGTTACAGTCAAATCAGATCATAGATACAAAAAATTGACAAGGGGTATATTGTGGTTTTATTTGATGCATCTGAAAACCAAAGTTGCCTTTGTGCATTTCTTAGGGAATAAACAACCACCCTGCCAACTCTTACTACCTTAATTGGAGACAGTTGTCTAACATTTCCTTTTATCCTGATGTTTAAATTGTTCTGCCCTCGTAGTATGCATGTTGAGAAGATTATAAGTCTTTGCATGTGAGAAGAGCATGAAAATAGAACAAAGTATCATTTGAAAGTCAAAACAGTTATTGATCAGTACCTATTCTGATTTTGCTGTTTAATAGAAATCAATAAGACCAGCAGGCTAGGATTCCCTGTAGAGCTGTCATTGCATTGTGACAACAATTTCAAATTCATTAGTTTGCAAATTAGTTGTCTTTGCATGTGTTCCTCATGTAGAAAGAATGGGCGATTGGTTTTCCTTCTCATTGTAAAAGTTTATTATAGCTGTGGTAATCTCAAAGTAGAAAATAAAGTGTAGACTCATAATGCTTTGTTTCTTGTGTTATTTGTCTGCATGGAGCACCCAGGCTTTTAAATCATTGTTTCAAACAGAGTTTCATCAAACGTGTTGCAGTTCTAACTGATGCAGGTTTTGGCATTGTCATATGTAAATATATATTTACATATCAATAAATATATTTAGTTCTTTTCAATGGAGTTACTGGAATATGACAACTTTTTAAATAAAGAATTATCAAGTATTTAACATGCAAAACCTCAAGCTTTTAAAAATCTGAGAACTTCCTTTTTTATGCAGTCTACCATGGAACAACCTCCAAACACTAACAATATAACTTTGTACTTCTCAGAGAAAAATCTTTTTGAACAAATAAATACAAAACTGCAAGAGGTTGTCAATGATAACATTAACATTTGTATATTTTCAGAAATATAAAATGTATTATAAAATAACTTGTTCAGTAATTATTGGGGCAAACTTCTACAACTATGAACTTTTATCTTAGAGTCAGACAACAGTTGCATCGTTAACAGGAGGTCAAGAACCAAATTGTTCACATGTTTCCAGCAGCATCCATCTAGCCTCCCTTTGGGGTTTGCACTCTGGAAAGCTGTGAAGCTCTGTGGGTGATTTTCTGTGTGTTTTTGGACTTGGCAATTTACCAGGTTAACAGACCTTACGGCAGGAGAGTCAACAAAGCTGCACCAGAGTCTTCCACAGGCATTCAGGCTTCCCAGGAGATGGCTGTGCAAAAAGAACTAAAGCGAGAACAATATGTGACCTCATCATGTCCACCCCCCACCACACTCCCTCACGTCCCCCACGTCTTTCATTAGTCACTTTGCCCAACAATGCCGGCTATTTTAGTAGAAGCTCGCCTCTTTGCCGACCAAATCTTCCTGGTGGGGGATTCAGTGAGGAAGGAAACCACAGATGGTTGTATTCATGGACAATGCTGAAGTCCTGGAATCTTGTTACGACAGCTGTCTGGCTTGCTAGGTGGTGTTGACCACTAATCAACAGCGTTATCTAACCCCCAAAACACGACAGAACAAAGCTATAACTTACTGAAATGTAAGCTGAAGGTCTTGTTAAATTCTAATGAGAATCAGAAACCTAATTTCTGCAGAAAAGAAAAACAATAACCAACTTGGCATCCTATTAACCTAGAGCCCACCAAGGGAGTAATCATTTTTTTTAAAATATGGAAGTGTTTATTATCTGGCTGAGGCATTGCAACATTTGGCACAATGTATAAATCTTCATGGGTGTTTGATTTCATGGCTACAGTAATCACATTTCTTGGCAAATTAAAATAAAACTGTTTCTGAGTGTTTATCTGATCATCAACAACACGTGTTTGCCACATGCCAAGATTTCACTAACAAGCTTCCAAGTTACAGCGAAACCTGGTGTAGCTGCTAATTATGGATTATTGTGTTTGAGACATGTACACAATCAGGACATGTTCTGGGGGAATTTTACCCATTTGTATGAACATTTAAAACAAGTTTTTTTTATTTTTTATTATTGGTCAATATATGGAGTCCAGTCGTGTGGTATCATTTGATCTTATATTATAACTTCTGGCCTTGTAATCATCTCCCCAGGCCCTTTGTCACAATATATCGATTCTAAAAGCATCTAAACTACTGAAACATAAAATGTCAGCAAATAAAGAAAGCATTTGGTCTCCAAGGCCAGCATCCATTAGTTTAGTCATGACCAATGGATGTTGGTCTGTGGAGAACATGGGGGGAGGGTGTCCATTAAGAAAGACCTGAGCCTGTTTTATCTCATTGTTGTAGAGTGTCCTCTGAAGGCCATCTGCCATCCATCATCCATCCCCATTGATTTATTTCTGATGTCTTTGCTGATTGATGAAACAGCCAGAGAGGTAGACTTTCCCATCTTTATAGCTGCTCAGCTCTAAAAATTTAAGGGGAACATAGAGCAGAACATAAAACTGAATAAATAAATAAATAAATAAATAAATAAATATTCATCTTATAATGTTGCATTCAATTACTCTTAGATTTTTTTATGACGAGAGGAGAAAATTTACAGGAAGGGATCATGTGAAGGTGGCCTTGCAGTGTGTTCCTACACCTGGGTCTCACACACTGCCAGTGCTGCAAATGTTTTTCTAAAGGGCTCCAATGGAAAAGGCCAAGAATCTCTACATTAGACAGTGTCTTTATTAATAAGCAGTGAATCCTTACCATGCATGTTGTAGCAACAAACTAAAGTTAATTTTGTTTTGTTTTTTATATAGTAGACATATTATGTCAATGTAGAACAATTCACAAACGTTAACTGGGCCATTCTACTAAAATTAGTTTCCCGTAAGGCATTGAATAATAGTATCATTGGTTTAGCTTTATTCTAAAATAGATGTTAAACTTGGATGAAAAAGCAGCAGCAAGGTTTACAAAACAGGAAAAGAAGTTAACTGAATGAATAGGCTCCCTGTATAAAGCTTGTTCATTCATGATTAGGAAGAATGATTAAGGTTGCATGTGAGACCAAAGGCATGTCCAGAATCTTTTTCAGACTTCTTCAAAAAATGTACAGCTGCTCCAGTTGGGAGATGAAATCCTCCCAGTTTGTCACGTGGTGACCTCTGACCAGCTGACTGTGCAACCCAGAATACGACTCACAGAGGTCATCAGGACATTTTCTATCTGGCACTAAGGATACTCTAAGACGGATTTCAGTGCAGTGGAGAATCATCTCTGCACTTCTCTTGGGTCTTTTTTTCAGTCTAGTTTTGCTGAACTTTTTGGTCAGTTGTGAACTGAAGTTTACAGCCATAGATGATACATAAAATGAGTAAAACCTGAGTTATTTAGCAAAACATGTTCTTTAGCAGAAAAAACCCTTTGTTTCCAAGATAACAATAAAAATAATAAAATCAAAAACATCCTGACTGATCTTGTCTATTGATTGCTGCCATTGGTAAATTTGTCTGTCCTGTGTGAGGATTGAAGCATCTGACTTTAATTCAACACAATAAAGTTATCAGACACAGAGTTGCATTAAAATAGAACAGGAGTTGCACTGCAGAGTGCAATCAGCTAATGACAGCTGCAAGTTGTTTTTAGAAATCAGGGATGAGTGAGACTATAGTAATGATCCACGGGTAGGAAATATTGACTGACTCTTCATGAGGACACCTGTGACCTGAATATTTGTGTCCGTACTAAAGGTTACACACTTGTTAGTGAGACATAAAATTGTCCATACAGAAAATGTTCATGTAAAATCCAAAATTTCACATTCAATTATAGTTACGAATATTGGACTGATCTTACACACAGAGCCATGAACTGTAGGTCTGTCAGATTAATTTAGATTTTTTTTTTTCTGGTTCTTATTTTTGGGCCATCTTTCCCCGAGTTGTCTCCACTATTAACTCTAGTGACAATTGTTGCCCTGTTCAGAGCATTTTCCTACAGCTCCATGGTTTTTAAACACAATTTTCTTCAGCATCATAGTCCTCAAAGGCAGTGGCAACAATAGCATACTTACCAGGCCGGGCATCACGAATGCCAGAGTCTGAATCACCACCATTTTCTGCATCTCCAGAGCATCTCTTAATCCTGCACTTTATTATATTATATCCTCCTAAATCATCTTCAGCAGCCCCATCATCACCAGAAACAGCAGCAGCTTTGTTTTCCTCATAGTCAGCAGCAGGAGCAATGCCATTTTCAGAGTTAGCATTATTATCAGCCTCTAGTTTGCACATTGCTTTGTCAGATCCTGCTGTTGCCAAATGGCTCATAGGTTAATTCCTTGTTGCTTTTCTCCCTTTGAAAATGTAACCCTAAATGGTCCCTCCAACATGATGTTCCGAGCTTCTTGGTTGTGACTACCTCCAATAAAACAGCAACAAATGATGGATCCACAAAAAAAAAAAAACAAACACTTAAAATGCATGTTGGTTAAAGCTTTACCATGTGCTGTTTTATTTCATATGATGATGTTTTTATGTTATCTTCAAACTTTAGAGATCAGCGAGGCCTGGTTCCTCCACCGGTTGGTATCTGTGTGCGTCTGTCAGCAGATGCCCTCTCCGTAATTCAATCAGAGCCCAGAGAATCTAATTTGATGCAGACATGCCACGCCCAGATAGCAGGACGGTGCTGGGAAAGACATTCAGTCGCATCCAACTCTCCACTGCTTTGTCTCATAGCAACCACACAGGATCACAACAGAAACACTCCTGATAAGGCTGATCTCACTGATGTCTAAGCGATAACTCTTTGACCTGAAAAGTGTATCGCCCCTGACAACTTCTGCTATCCACACCCAGCAGCAGGAAATAGAGTCAGCTGTCCATCAGACAATGGCCAACTTGTCCAGTGTGACTTTTGACTCAGCTGTGCGAGTATGTGTGTGTTTTGCCATTAGTAGCCTGCTGAGTCACAAGAGTGTGTGTATTTCTCTAAAACAAGAGTTGAACAACTGTTGCAAAACCACTTGTTTGCATTTGGTCAAGACAAGCAATTCTAAGATGTCGCCACGTCTGTGCCACATCCTCCTTCAAGCATGCATCTGTTTCTGTGAAACATGACAAACGTGTCTTACTCCCAGCATGTTGAAAACAAAATTGAAATACATCTCTTAAATTTGTTTTTAAAATGTTGTCTACACAGTACTCAGTAACCACAACTATAAAGGTAACAATAAATTAAAGGGTCAAATTCTATCAATATAAATTAAGGATACAGTATTATTTTAAACAGTTAAATGTGTTCCTGTGAACCTTTTTCTTTGTTTCCACATGTGAAAGAAAAACTTGACAGCAGATTTAATTCCAATTTATAATATTTTATCATTTAATAGACTACTTGCTATCTTATCACTGTTAAAAGAAAAGTTCTCATTTGACAAATTCAAAAAAAAAATTCTCCTCTAAATTTAACCCAATCAGTTGCATTTTTAAAAAGTAATTTTCACTTTTTTAGCCTATGAAAAAAGCATGTAATACAAAACTGATGTTTCAGAGACAAATTAACGACCATTTAATCCAATAAAATCTGCAGGTTTTATGTATAATATTGAAAACTTAAGTCACCGTTATGAGGTCAAAATGTCAGATAAAGTACCAGGACTGACATCTGAAATGTCACCATAACCGTCTTGTGAAACCACCTTTAAGTGTAAAAACTAACCAAAAACATTTGTTTAGAATGATCTCTGTATGTTGTAGAGAACATTTTTGTCAACTTTAACACTGCATTAATTAACATTTTGTCAGTTTGTTATTTCATTTAACTGTGGTTAGCACTTTTCTTTCAATTTGTAAAAAAAAGAAAAGAAAAAAAAAACAGCATTAAATTCGTCACTTTATGATCACCGACACCAGACACTTTAGGGCCCTCTAGTGGTCAAATTGTTGAAATGTCTCCTGACTCTCAAAACAAATGACAAACTCAGACTTTAGGTCAACTTGTCTATTTAATATATAAAATACGGTAAAACATACGCAAAAAGGGGAGGAGGGTAAGCTGGGACCAATGGATACTTTGGTACAATAACAAACACTTTTTTTTTGTAAAAGCAGTATAGAATTTGTAATAACATATCAGTGCATACTTTATTTATGAAAATATACACAAATTGTATATCATTCTCCAAAAAAACAACAAAAAATATTTTTACAACAAAAAAGCCGACTAGCCAAACACAATATATTAGCTATAATTTACTTAAAACTTTTACTTCAATTTCTTTTTTTTTTTTCTTAAATGTCATCTTGTGTGACGTGTGTTTGTGTCAATATTACACTTTGTTTCCTACGACATGATTCACTTTCTCTTGTTTTTAAAATGGCCATGCATTGACATCATTGTGTCTGGTCAGAAATAAATTAGACGTGTCACGCTGCCCCTCCTGAAGCCCCCCCCCACCCCACCACCACCTCTGTGTGGACCGACAAGTTCGTATCTTGAACTCAAAAGCTGCAGCATAGAAGCGGTTTGTCGCAGTCCACTCGCTTTTGTACTAATAATAATAATAATAAAAAAAATCATCACCACGCTTGTGTTGTGTCAGGTCATAAAAATCGTGCAACATTAGTAACACCCTTTTTAAACAAACAAAATAAAAATAAACCCAAAGAGAAAACAGAAATACATATTTATAATATATTTTCATAGAATAAAATCAAATTTCAAAAATAAAACAAAATGTCTAACCTACACAAAGAAACTCAAGAGTTCCATATCATCATGACATCTACCAGCAGTGAATTCTGCGGTAATGATGATTGATAATAGTAATAATATCGATCTGTAGAGAACAAGAAAACAGACTGTCACCAGCACAAGTTAACACTGGAAAGTCAGTGAGACTTCTAGACATCATTATACAGAGGCGTGTATCGCTTTGTCAGGGGGAGGGGAGGGAGAAAGAACCATTTATCAGCACGATTGTCTTTCTACGATAACAGCGACCCCTAGTGTTGGCCTACGGGTCTGTTACAAAGCTGCCTCTTTGTTACCTTTATGGAAAAAACCTCGTACTCTCAGACTTAAATTGCCTTTTCCGTTTCATTTTGTTCGAAGCTCTGGGCACAACAGTCTTAACAGTCAAAGTGTTTACACTCTGGGGATTTACTGCATGTTCACTCTGCCACACACTCTGACCAGCTTTATTGACACTGACACTTGTCAAACAGAGGATCAGTGACTGTGATAGAGTGACAGACAGAGATAAAGAAAATGAGAACTTACTTCTGAACTGAGCAGAACGCGATGAGGCCGAGGCATCGAGCTGACCCCGAAAATGATTCAACTTCATCTCAGCGCTATGACCCGCTATCTGGATGAAGAGAACTAGAGGATGAGCGTGTGTGTGTGTGTGTGTGCGCAATGGACCATTGATGTATCTGTGTGTGTTTGTGCAATTTTGAGATTAAGCCTCCAGAGAGGACATAAATCCCAATTGGGTGAGTGAGTGACAGGGGTGAGAGGGAGGTGACGAGGGCCTGGATGTGGTAAAGCCCAAAGTCGACAAGTCTGCGTAGGATTTGGGAGGTAGTCATTAAAAGATCAGGAGTCGTTCTGAAACCTCCGGCTTAAAATCAAATGATACCCAAATTCAGCTCCCAAGGCTTTTCACAAACAAATGGATGCTTTTTAGGAAGAATAAATACACAAACTTCCACTTTTGACCATCACGGCTTTTAAAATCTACCCACTAAACCCGAATATCACCATTTGACATTTTTATAGAATACAAAAATGACCCCCTTCACATCCTTTTACCTTCAAAGTGATTTTTTTAAAACTCTCCAGAGTGTAAAACTACAGCCAACCAGTGACAGGCGAAGGAAAGGTCCTCTAAATGTAGATACATGGCTTTCAGTAAGAGAGAAAGACAAACCTCAAACTTAAAGATCTAAGGGACTTCCTCTGCATCCTTATCTTTTCAATCTGTATGCTTGCGTGTGTGCGTGTTTTTGTTGAAGGTTGGGTGATAATTGCATAACCAACACTACATAATGATCAATTTTGTTCATAATCAACTGTAAAATTTCTCAGCTGATGCAGAAAAAAATAAATGCTGAAATTGCAACTTTGATATGTGCTCAGTAAACTTTTCAGTTGAATGAAAAGGATGAAATATTTCATTTAAATGAATACGTTCTGATGGTAATGTGTAGGCCTGAGTCAGTTTCCATTTTATGGTTTGTTGTTGTTTGAAAAGGTTTTATAACAACAATTTCTGCAGTTTGAATTTATAAAGTTGTTGCTGATAGCTGCCAGTCAGCTGTGTACGCTACCTGACTGCGCCTGAAATAAGATGGAACCTCATAAAATACATTAAGTCAATTGTAGAGTGCACATTCAGACCTGGATAGGAAAGCAGAAGACTTATTATTTCTAAAAGTATCAATAAATTACACCAATTTTAAATCAGGTACTTTTTTTTTCTTTTATCCGTTTTGTCACTCATATTTATCTGTGGATTAAAATTAAAGCTACAGAAATAAATGTGAAAATAATCATTATGTTAATATATTTGCATGTCCAATGCATCATATATGGGTGGGATTTTGATTTCTAAATAAATATTAATTAAACCACATTTTCATCCATTTCTGTTAGGAAACTGGGATATTTGTGTCAAGCATTCCCAAGCCATACTGGTCCATGCCTACTGATGTGTGAAAAAAGAAATTGTATCATTTCACTTTTGCTCTTTTAACAAATTTTGAAAGAGATGCAATTTTTCCCAATCATGTTATTTTTTTAAAATTGGTGTAATATTTTTCATGATCTTAACTGATTTTAAATAGAATACTTTCACAAATTGGAAGCAATCCAAAAATCCTAGAAAAACAAACTAAAAACATCATTCAATTAAAAAGTTCTAAACTGAAATTTGTCTATTTTCTGTGTCTGGTGCGACATGCCCAGGTATCAGCCTCGTGTGATCAGTGTGTGCTCATAGGCCAGGTGTGTGAAGGAGTCGGAGGTGGGAGTTAATGTAAAGTGCACTCCATCAGCGACAGAGTCCATTGCTCACTCAAACAGTCCGAATCGCCACTGCTTTACTTTCTTCCTCTACAGCGCCCTCTCTTGGCTAGGCCACATTTTACACTTTATATACACGCATAAATAATTTTTAAAAAAAGACTGACCGATCCACTGAGAATCAACATTTGTTTTTTTTTTTTTTCTTTTAAATCTTACGTTAAGGGATATCCTGCCGAATATATAATATTTATATATATACCTATATATAAATATACACAATCCCTGTCGTTTGCTGTAGTCTATAGCCTCAGATGCGGAGTTGCCCATGCAACCGTCTGAAGGTGTTTAAATATATACTTGTAAATGACCTATTTATTTCAACCTTCATAACACCTAATCCCTGCCACACAAAAGCCACAAAGGTTACAGATTGCTTATATACACGGTGCCACACATCCCTCCCCGACTTTAAACATCAGCTACCACAAAAATAATTTCAGCTGTGTGCATTGCAGTTGTGTGTTCAAGGATAAAACTCAGAGTGAACATTTGTCCAAATCACTTCCTAAAAAGAAAGAACAACAATCAGTTGAGGTAACAAACCCGTATACACAAAAACACACACACACACACACACACACACCAAACACACATAACTTTCTCAGCATCTGTAGTCGACACGATGTTTGCCGAATGATGAGACTGTCACTGAGCTGTTGCAGCTCATCCCTGATTCGAAGAAAAGCAGTCTTTTACCTCGGCGACAAATAATGCTCCTCGTCTTATAGCTGGCCTGCATGGTTTTGATTCAGCAAAGGCCTGAGGGTCCACTTTCATGTTCAGGGCCAAGGCGCCAAATTGTTGACGGAGCTGCCAGCGTGGCCGGGGAGAGAAGCAAGTTTTTCTTTTTTCTTTTTAGTGTCTTCAAATCCAAAACCAAAATTAATCTAAACTCTGGACAGTCAAGGACAGAAGGACGAGACTCTGTTCAAAACCGCCCGAAGAAACAAGAATCTAAATAGATGGCAACGCAGCTGTGGATGGCCGGATGTGTAGAAAAGACATTTGTGGACGTTTTCAGTGGCACTTTCAGAGCACAAATCTGTCATATTTGACCAACATCTGTGGGAAAAGAGTGAGGATGCAAGAGTGGGTCCATTCATAAATCGAATGCGGGGCATTCTGGGAAACCAAGTCCGGTTTGTTTGTCTGGTCTGCCAACAACTGTCAAGTAGTTCAAAAGTCCAATTTTATGCCTGATTGAAAATGTACTTGCTCACTCCTACTAAAAATGCAGCTGGATCAAGTCCAACATGGTAATTCGTTTGATGAGTAATCCCTGGATCGTTGGCTCAACCCACTGGGGGCTTTTCATGTTTTGAGTACATCAAAGTACAAACATGAACGCACATCGCCATACAACTGAGCATCAGTGTTCACATGTGCAACATGAGAGTGATTGCATGCTTGTGTTGTGCATGAATGACTTTCCTGCATGAAGAGTAAGTTACTGGGTCAATGGTGGTTTTATTCTGTGTGGGTTTTCAGAGGGGGAAACTGGGGGGCGTCAAGAGCTGGTGGGGGGCATGTACACAAGCCACAAGTACACATCTCCTCCTTCCATGTGTCCATCCCTCTGTTCTCCTTTATGTCACCCAGGTATCCAATCTCACTCTCTTGACGTTTGTCCCATCCTGTTCCTGAGGCTCAGCTGACGAGGGCCGCAGCAGGACCATGGTGGACTGCTGTGCTCCGGCTGCCGCCTGGTGGTGGAAGTCTTGCCCCCCGCCTCGACCCTGGGCACCATCGTCCCTGTCGCTGCCCTCATAGGAGGAGCCGTTGCTGCTGAGGCTGTCGACGGGCGAGCGGCCCTGGGTGCCAGGGAAGGCGATGGACACCAGACCTTGTCCCTGGATCTGAGGCCCTGCGCCCAACACTGGACCGCCGGTGGAACTGGGGGTGCTGCGGTCACGGTTTGGGGAGACGGGTTCTGATTTGATGTTGACATTGGGGTTTGTGTTGACTGTGAGTGCGGTGCTCTGAGGTACGGGGCCAACTGACCTGGAGGGAGAAACAAAAACCAGAGAAAGTGGAGATGCCACAGTAAGTATCACTGCATACTAGAGTTAAGGTCAGGCTTTAAAACTGGAGTATGTAACTTTTATTAAAATAAATAAATAAAAAATATAATAGTTTTTTTTTTTTTTACATGTCAAAATTTTTACTTTGTGACAGTATAAAACAGATAATCTGTGGGGAAAAAAATAATAATAAAAAAATATGGAAATCCTCTGCTTTCTACCAGCACTAACTGCTGAATTACACCACTCAGTCAGAAACAACCAGTCAGTCAGGAGGAGGGTTTTAGTGCTGTCAGTCACTCTCATGCTCACCCCTCCCATTTGATCTTTGCTAAGCTATAGCTGACTCACCTCAACATAGCCTGCCACGAATGCTAAGGCTAGTTAGCATAGCCATAGATGACAGCAGAAGAAGGTTTTCCTGTAAAGGTGAGTTGTTTTTCCCCCATTAGCACATTGAGTAGCGAACAGGAGGTTGACTGACAGCAATAAGTTCCTCCTCGAGGCTCAGATTGGTTGTTTCTAACCAGGAGTGGTGTATTTTTTTCATTTTTTCATAGATTATCGGTAACATCCATACTGTCACGACTTGGTGACAGTTTTAACAAATATGGAAAAAACATAGTTTTGTAAAAGTTACATATTGGAGCTTTAACAAATCACAAGGAAGAAACACATCTTTAAAACTCCACAGAGTGACTGAATGAATTTACATCAACAATCAGACACACACCGAAATGTGCAGCTAGCAAAAGCTGAGCATTTTGTCAAATACGAAACACCCCAGGCACCCGAGCAAAGCTGTGAACCTGGCCAACGAAAGCTTGGGCAAACCGCGGCACATGGAGAGCAAAGACGTACAGGACAAGGAGAGCAACATAAAAGCAGAGTCATTACACCATGCAGCACGATCATTCTTGCATACTGGATTTGCTGTCAGGTTCCACAGCTAAAGATGAGCATTGGTGCTGAATGCATTTATATTCTGTTCAATCAGCGCAGCAACACAAACTGCTGACGATCACATGTTTTCCCCTCATTTCTCTGCTTGCTTTACTTGCTGCAAAGTGAACACTTGCATTTTGGGGTTCATCTGTCAAGTTTACATTCTCCTTTGTATAAAGTTAGGTAGTAAAACTCTTTAAAGTTTTCACTGCAGTAATAAACACATTACATACTCTCTAATCTTTGCTTATTAATCTGTATACAAGATCAAGAGTTTTTTCTAGAATACAGTTTGTGCATATAATTTACATGTTGAGCTTCGATTTACTTTAGATTATAAAGATTTTTAGAAGTTGTTAAAAAAACTTTCTGATTTTTTACTGAACTTCTTCTCCATTCTTTCTCACAGAAGTTTTCATATCGCTTGAACATATTTTACTGCTGCTCCACAAACACAATCCTTGATGCATTTCACAAGGATTCTTTGTAGAAGACAACACAGAGCAATGCATTACTGTGAATCAATATCAAAAGGATAGATGATTTTCAAAATGTTGGAGAAATACAAGTTATACAATTAATACAAGCAAATGTATTCACATCTTCTGAATACAACTGCAAGGGAAACATGTCTGCACCAGCTTTGAGCATCTAGAGGTAAATGTTTGCCAATTCAATTCAAGCTCAGTCAGATGGGATGAGAATGGCCTCAATTAATCAATTCTGATATCCACTTCACAAACATGCAAAGTTTCTTGTGGTGGTCCATCACACCAAATTCCAATAAACTATATTAAAGTTTGACAAAAGGTGAAAAAGTTCAATTTTCCAGTTGATGGCTTGTTAAGCTGAACACAGAGACTTAAATTAAGGAGCCAAAAAGTTTTCCCACATGAAACAGCACTTCTTGTGTCCATCAGCAGTGTGAAACCTTCAGGGTTTCACTTCCATCTGTGACCTTTGGACCTTCTGTAAACTTAAGAAAGTAGCTTTAAATTAACAGAAGCTAAAACCAGCAGCGTCAGTCAGAAGTTAGACTTTTCCCCACCAGTGTTTCCGGACAAAGAAAAGAGTCGCACCAACATCGTGCTTGACATCTGACAGTTGTGAACGGTTTGATCGCAGCCTGAAGAGGAACCATTCTGCTTTTGATTAAACTGCTCTAATGATAATTTCAGCGCACGTTTTGCTAAGATGCTCGGGATAAAAACGGCGTGCCAAAAAGCTTTCCAAAGTGTCACCCGCCTCCTGTCTACCTGCCACGGCTCTTTGATCAGCCCCTCCACTCTCACACTCAGCCTTCACCTCCTCCACTGGCTGGAGGCTAAGTCAAAGCTGTCACCGAGTCTGACACCGGCTGTTGACGCTGCACTGGGGTTCGCTGCCTTTGACGGTGAAAACAGGATTTTTTTATATATTTTATGGGATTGGGCTCATTCTATCTCCTCCTTTCCCACAGCATGACACAGTAGATCTCAATTCGAAGCTCCCAATTACCGCATTTCGACCCTTCGGGTGTGTTCTAATATGTCATATCAGGAGCCATCTGCAGCAATATATCTTGCACAATTACTGGCAAACTGAGAGGGGACTTTAAGACAGCACTCCTCCAGGCAATCTGGGTCTGCGCTCGCCCTCTTCCTCTAACTGACACACACAGACACACACACGCTGAAAGTTGTGCACTCTTGCCGTCCTACATATAAATGCTCCTTCTTTCCTGAGCACACAAACACACACACACACACTGCTGTGTGGCAGCGAGGCTCACTCCGTCTCTTCCTGTGCCCACTTCATCAACCTGTGCACCGCGGCTCCGGCGTGTGCAGGTAGATAGATGGGGGTGCCACTGGGGTGCCGATGCTGAGGCGAGTGAAAATGGCCGAGTCAGCAGGCCAGTGACAGTGATGAAGGTGAGAGCAGCAGTCTAACCCCCCCCCTGCCACCCACCTCCCCACCTCCACGAACATTAACAACACAGTGAGCACAGCCAGAAGCAGACATTTAGTTATAGTGAGGCGTGTTGAGTTGCACTTGCTGCCGTGGTTTCCCAAAATACTCTGCTTTGCTGAGAAATTATTTTTCTTCTATGAAATTTAGCTCTAATCAGATTCTTCTACAGCTACATTTTGTATAAAATAAGTGTCTTTTATTGGTGTAACAATAAAAAAAACTTAATTTGTTCAGCAGGGAAAGAAAAAAAATGCATTTGAGAACAAATCATTGGTTTTTGCAAAATTAATGATTGGCTTTTAAAGATTTCTTTAAATTATTTTGCTTTTTGTATTTAAAAGCTTAAGAACTTTAAAAATAGATTAAAACTTTTTTAAATAACCAGAACTTTAAGTAGTTTTATCAGTAAACCATGATTTTCTGTGTAATTTATTTTGGCTATTCTTCAAAATGTGAATAGAGGAAGTTTGATGTTTGTGAATATTCTTTACTCATGAAAATGCTATAAAAATATGGATCAACTTGCCCATTTCTATTGTTAAAACAGTTATTAAAGTTAAGAACCAGAATTATGATGAGCAATTATGGGGATTGAACCCCATTTATGACAGAAGAATGGTAATACAAGAAACAATTCATTTTAAATCTCATGATTAGGAGATCTGGAGTAAAGAATGACACCTTGACAACACTAAGTCACCATAACAACCATTTAACAATTTCATTTCTAAGATGTTTTTGCTCATGTTTTGCATAAGTGCCATTTTTTTTACTCTTTTGCATACTTTTAGACAAAGAAATCTTTTATAATTAACACATCGACATCACTTTACTAGTCATGAGAAGTTCCTCTCATTCTGTTAAAACAAGCAAATCACTTTAATTTTGGTCTCAGCAGACTAATCTAAATTTTGATGCACTTTTCTATTACAGCAACAGAATGTACTTTCGACTGCATGTGGCACATAAAAGATTAAATCTAAAAAAGAACATAAGGAATGAAAACAAACATTTCATGATAAAAGGAAAAGAAAAACTACTTTTTTGTGGATTGCATCAAATTGTTATGTGTATTGAGCACCATTTGTATGTTTTCAATGCATAAGGTCAACTGCATACTTTCACCAACAAAGAGGCACTGTGGACTCTTAAGATTTGACAAAAATGATTACATTTCTGCCAGTGTTGACCATCTAACAACAAAAACAGTTTCTACCAGAGAGATGTTGTTGCCCTGAATTCATCCAAACCCTGAACAATCATAATTTTCTTAGTGCAATATCAATATGTGTCTTGAACATAACATACGCATTTCTTTTTTCTTTGCTCTACCTATGACAGTTGCTATTTTTTTTTACATTTTGTTATTGTTTCTTGTACAATAACTAATTCTAAAAAAAGAATCAAAGTACAAAATACTGAGATCAATCAAACTTTCATCCAAACAATCAGTTGGATGAACAAAAAGACCATCAGAAGAATAATGGAAATATTTTTTGTTTAGAACTAATCAGATTTTTCCTCACAACCTGCCAAACCTGCAGTTTTACCATTAAAAATCTAAAATCTTTAGCAAAGGATCCATCATGCAGCAGATATTTTAGGAAAGAGACATGCTGTAAGCTGTATGTCTTGAGAGTAGAGAGTACAGTACCAGCAGAGGCCCTCCTCTCTGCCCAAGAGAAAGTTGGACTGAGAAGCCAAGCTGTGGAGGGAGGTGGGAAAAAAAACACAGAAGACAAGCAGTTTTCAGAAAGCTGTAACAGCAGGGAAACAGTGAGACGGATCAGAGGCAGCTCTTGGTCACTCCTCACACAGAAACTAGACAACAAAAAGGCTTTAACAGCTGCTTTAGTCAAGCTGAGATGTTAGAGGCAGAGCTGTGTACAGTAGGAAGTGTGAAAGCTGGATAGTTATTCACATGCAGTGCCTGTTTACTTCCTCTTCCAGTAACAAAAGGCAGCTGGTTTTTCATGAAGTGTGATGAGTCTTAAAGGAGCTCTGAACTAAGGTCCTCATTAATTTACAGAAACTTGTCTTTGGTCCTTTTTTACTGGAGAACTTCTGATGAAATAATTTCATGGTTGAACTCTCATTGATCCTGCAGTTTGCTTAGCTTTTAAAAACCTAAATGCTCTATGAAAAAAAATAATCATTAATCTCTGGACAAAGACCTTCTCAGCTCTGGCAGACAGAGGTTTCTAAGAGCTTTTTCCCCTTCAGCTTTGGATAGCCAACAGCTATTATAACTCTGCAAACGTTCATCATTTAGGTCACTTAGAAAAGAAACGGAAAGAGAGGAGGAACGGAACATACAGAGAGAAAAAAGCTGCATAAAGAACGCATTTCTTCAGTTAAGGGGAATCGTGAGACACAAATTAATACACATTTCCTTTCTAGTAAAACATTTTTACTCCCCCCAACAAGCTACACTTACACAAAACACCCATAATACACCCACACATTGCATCGCAAAAGTATTCACACCCTTCACAATGTTCACACCATGTCAGATTACAATCAACGTACTTTAAACCATACAGAGCAGTTCATAACTGTGACGTTGAAGAATTTAATGATTAATATGTTTTTATTTTTTATTCTGATTAGAAGTCTAAAAAAATCTGGTGCACATTTACAATCAGACTTATTTATTTTAGCACACCTACGTCAATTCTGGATCAAGAATAAACACAGCCCTTTTATGTGTAAATTAATCTCAGTATAAATGCAGCTGTTCCGTTTTTGGCCTCAGAGGTTTGTTAAAAAAACAATGAACAAAATTCCATCATGAAGAACACAGCAGTTCAGTCAGGGAGGAAGCTGAAAGCAGGATGAGACTAGAAAGTTGCAGTCGAAGGTTGGAGCTGGAATAGGTTTAAGTGTAATTAAACAACATCCTTTACAAATAAATATTTCAGATTAAAAAGATGACTATTTAATGGGCTGTCTTGGTCTTTTTCACCTGATGGTGGATTTAATAAATGAAACGCACATAATCTGAGCTGGAACAACTAGTAACCAGCAGGCATTTCTACATAAATGTACAAATTGGCTGTGAATGCAGCACTGCAGGGCAGCAGTTCATCCATTAACATTTAGATTGAGGAGTCAAGAGGAAGCTGAGAGTCAACAGGTGTACATCGAATTAACTAAGCCTGGATAAAGGGGACGGAAATGAGAGGGGGAAAAAACGGAAGTGCTGGATGATTAAAAGGGGGAAGGATGGGAGAAAATAAGATGACAGAAATAATTTCCTTGTGGCGCCTGCAGCGAGGAGAAGTGTAGACGACAGCAAAGGCAAGGAATGGCAGCCAAGCCGTCAATCACAATTTGATAGGGAGGGCTTGTTTGCTCGCTGCGAGGCCACACTGCGAGGAAATCAGAAGCAAAGCAGAAGCAGTCTGGGCTGTACTGGTGCCCACGTCTGCCCATGCTGTCCTAGGACGGCACGATTTTCCGCGGTGCTGTGAGAACAGTTTGGTGTGCTGGGAAAGATTCCCACATTTCTGTGGTGCTCCCTTGTTTTCAGTGACAGCAATTCTGTTATCCTGCTCACACACACTCACACACACACATGGCTCAGTGATCCTGCCTGGTGCTGATTCTAGAGTCAAACCTGCAGGAGCTGAAACGCTGCCACAATCAGCATCTGGGCTGCATGATCATGGCTAAAATTTAAATCCTGTTTACTCAGTGAAACTGTGGCTGTTTTCAATGCTCACATGTTTCAGTTAGATTTCCAGAAGAAATCTTAAAAAGAAGTGGGGCTCCTACATTGTCTTCAATTATAATACATATACACATTTATTTTTCTTCATTTGCACAGGAAAGTATGAGCTAATGTGCTAACATTCCAAAATATAAAATCAGATGCAGATCATTCCTTGAATTTCAGTGCAATCAGAACTTTGAAGGTTTGCATATAATAAGTATTTTATATCAACTTATATTTTTGTGCAAATACAATATAAAAGATTAACACTGACACTCTTCTGAAAAGTGACATGCCACAAATGCGCATAATGGTGCGTTGGAGGTCAGACCTGGGAATGACATCATTCCCGTGTAAAGTGCATTCTGAATGAAAATCAGAAAAGCAAGTTGGATTTTTGAGGCACTAAATACAATTAGTGATGCAATAAAAATATATTCGGTTACATTTTGTGTTAAAGATGGAAAGAACTGGATAAAAAGATTGGAATCTCCTTGCACCGACGGTTTAATGTTTAATGAGAAACAAATGTCTGAGGCGCTTATAAACAGTTTATGTCTGCAACTTTCTGAGTGCTTTTATACGCAGCAGCCATATTGGATGCTGAACTTGTGTTTTAGCTTCAGAGGCGTTCTTATATGTCCAACTGCGAAGGCAGATATCAGACTTCCCAAAAGACTTAAAACAAACAATACCTATTAGCCAGCAGGGGGCAACATCACTGCAAACAGGAACCAGTTTGCATTAAAATGCTCAAAAAAAATTCTCAAAAGTTCTTGACCTCAGTCAATATTTACTTTTTAGCTCTTACTCTAAGCTTCTTTAATATTTAATGAAGAATGATTCTGTGGATTAACTTATAAGAAATAAATGTCATTTTAGAACTAGTAATTGTTGCCCTGACTGTAGATGACAGCAAGTTCAGACCAGCAGCTATTTACTTGTAACCTTTCCCTGAATAAAAACTAATCTAACATTTTGTCTTTTCTATTCAATTTTGAAAAGTGGATGAGACAAATCCCCAAAACATTCCTAGATGATTTAATCAACCTAATAAAGAAACAAACATTAAAAAGTGCTCCAGATCAAGCTACTGTTAGGAATTGTTAAGCGAGCCACTGACTGTGGAAGAAATGATTAACAAAATAGCATTTATTTATGTTAGATTTTTTTCCATTACCTCATAAATGTATGAACATGAAAAGTTTGATCTTGATTGATTTCAATGTAATATGTTTCTGCAATAACAGACTTTTTCAGAAGTGTTTTTTTTTTTTTTAACAGATAAATCTGTGAGGACGGAGTGGTAAAGGTTTAAGCTGAAATTATTTTATTTTTTTTCGCACAGTTTGCTTTGAGTCTGGCAGTTGATGGCTGATCAGGTGAGGATGCTGAAATGACTGATCTCATCTGGTTGCAGAGGGATTTCATTAAGTCTGGCTGGTCATTTGTTAACATTCACATGGCAATATGACATGTAAATGAACTGGGGGAGATTGTTAACTATAATCTTGTTGTTTTATAAGATGCAAACCCCCTGAAGTCACAGCTGTAGACTGTAACAAACAGTTAGCATCTTTTCATGGACTACTTTTGTTCGCAGTCAGACAGAACAATAAATTCATCTTCCAGCTGACAGCCTTGTGTCTTTTTTAAACAAATTTTTCTCACTGTTTTTTTATTTGTATTGTTGCCTGGATGCTGTCTCTAAAATGAACAAAAAGCTGGAATATTTCTCCAAAAGGACTTAAAACGCGCTTAAACCTGTTCACATTAAAGTGTCTTTTCATGTGAACACCAGCGCTGAGACCATCCTGAAATATCAAACATCAAATTCTATACGGCAGATCAAATCCTCTTTTTATCTCCTTAACTGACTTTGACAGCTAAGCTACATCTACAGCCTTCCTGTAGTTGTTCCACCGTAGGAATGTGAGGCCCACATGTATCCCAGCAGTTGGCTCTCATGTCTGTCAGCTGAGAGTGACAGCTAAATGGCATAAAAATAAAAAATTGATGCGGTGCGCGTGTCGCTGGTGCACAGCTGCGCCCAGGTTCAGTTTTGAGGACTGAAAGCAGCACAGAGAGACTCCTTTCATTGAACCGCCGAGCGAGGTGCTGTTTCTGTCATAATGAAGCAGCTCCCTCTTTCTTGGTGACACTTCCAAAGAGCTTCAGATCTAAGCTTTAGGTGGCAGAAAAGGGGGGGAAAAAAGAAAAACTCTTGGAACAAATCTAATTATCCCATAATCTCTGAGGGGGAAAACGAGTTTCACTTTCAACTGAACTAAAAGAGAACAGACACGGTGGAGCAACAGGCATCGCATCCAACACTCAAATGCAAGGAAAAGACACTTTGATACCGGGATTTGTGATGCATCTGTTTTGGAAATTGTTTAGGTTATTTTCGTCTGTCAGGCTGTTGTACACTCCATGTGTGTGAGGAGTGTATTAACTTGTGAGAAAAAACAGCAACACTGAGCTGCTTTGCTCCATTTGCTCGCAAGTCATTCACCTGACTTGAGCTGTATAACTAGAAAAGCAGTCATTTGTCACTGGTCCCAACATGAGGAGGAAGAAATCAAGGGAGGACAAACAGGAAGAAGAAAAACGTAAACCAGTGGCTGCAAGTGATGTGGTGAATATACTCAAACTAACCTCTAAACATTTTTTTGTTTTCTGTTTAGATGAGAAAAGAGTTTTTCATGGTCTAAAACTGTAGTTGTTCTTGATCTTCTTCTACTTTTATAACGCAATGTTTAAAATGTTAGTAAAGCCTTTGATTACTTTTACTTTTATCTGAAATAACTGTAACGAGTCATGAAATAATTCAATAACATTGCCAGCTGGATGATTATTTATGTTGCACAACGATCTCACTTCCACCAATGAGTTGTTTATAAATGCTAATTGCTATTAGCAGCTATAGAGGGAGTCAGTGAGGCACAGAAAGAAGTGTTGTCAAGAAAGAAAGACAAAAAGTATCCCATGTGTGTAATCACTTTAAACTAAATGGACCTGGAACAGATCAGTGACGTCCTCAAACACCTCCACAGGAAACATCCACTACATGCATCAAACTCGTCTGCGTTTGTAAACAGGTAACATTTTTGTTTCCTCTGCAAAAAATGAACTTTTATCTGTGATTGTGAGTATAAAATGTGGCATGGGACACATTTTGGCTAACATTGCATTTACATGCTGATCAAGAGGAGTAATTATGTGAAAAAAAAATAACTTTTTTATACTTCAAACTTAGGACTGAAAGTGAAGTGTCATTTAAAAGGCTGTGTTATCCAATCCCTCAATTTGAGTTTGCTTTATAATTTTTAAAAGTTAATGTGAAATGTTTGATGTTTCATCTCTTTTTGCATTTACAAAAGTTATTTTATACTTAAAACTTGAGTCTAAAAGTGATTTTTGAACCATATTGTACTTGCAAGTAACAAAAAGGAACTAAACTGTTTTTTACCAGGATCTTCTCTCATATTTCTTTAACTGAAGAAGCTCCTACAGAACTAGGCATTTTTAATGTGATTACTCTATTAATCATCAATAATCAATAGATTACTCGATTACTAAAATTGTTTACAACAGTCCAAGTAGATTTGGTGATTCATGATCACAAGACTCAGAAGGAGTAACAATTTAAAACCAGGTAAATCAAAACTACAGTGAACTGAGGTTGTCATCGTCACATCATCCTTTTCTCCAGGATAAACTTCAATTAAGCTCAACATCAGACTCCCTTAGTTACAACACACTGCCTGAGCAGGAGTATGGTCCATTCTTTGGACTGTGAAATCTTGTGCTGGGTAGCGCAGCTTGTAGCATCCGTACCAGGAGCTAAATCAGACCGAGACCGCAGAGGGAGACGGCTCATGGAGGAAGGAGGTGGGGTATCTAGGTCACCACAAGATAAATGAACTGCAGCTGGGGTGATGCCACAGCTTTTCTATGTATGGTATAATTCAGTTGCTTTACTGAATCAGCTGGAGTGTTTGCTTCAGTAAAAGGTTTGTGGATCAGTTGTTTCGGGGGGGGGGAGAGGGAGGTTAATCACCAGGAAATTACCAAATCACTCTAACAAGTACGTCACAGGTATAAATATGGGACTTACACCAAGTTATTGAGTGACGCCAGTGTCAGCTGCTGTTGCTGCTGTTGATGCTGTTGTTGTTGCTGGGAGACGACTGGTTGCTGCTGCCAGGCGGCCATGTTGCCAGGCACCAGCCCTGGTGGTGTGAAAGTCTGAAGGGCTGTGAGATCCGCGCTCGTCAGCTGGTACTCTGGGATTAAAGGATGCGAGAAAAGACATTTAGAGAGAGAGGAAGAGAAGAAATGAAGAGGAGGTGGATTGTTTTACATCATACAACTTTCTGCTGCATCAATATTAATCATGGCTAATCCATATTAATGTGAACCTTTGAAGTGGAATCATTCCAGAAGCTCTCACACAATGAACAAAGTGAATATTCATAGTGGTTTGTGGCACCACACTGCAAGCTTTCCCGTCATGGCACTTAATAGGTTTTCATGAAATAATGGAGTGTATTGTTTTTTTTTCTTAAATCTGCATCTTTTCCGTGACTTTAAATTCAGCCCTGTTGGCAGGAAAGTCTTCCCGGCTCTGATGCAAACCGACGGCTTCAGCCCAGGCTTGCTGTGTGGAGGGGCCGTGCTGCGTTCAGGGACTCACCCGTGTTGTAGGCAGTCTGCATGCCAGGGAAGGGAGCAAGGAGACTGGGTGTTGCCACAGAAACCACTGGAGTTGTGAGTGGCTGAGTCACCTGCGAGCTACCTAGCCGCTGAGCATTCTGGGAAAACAGAAAAAGTGAACAGTCAGTTAATAAAGACTGCAGGAAAAGTTTATGGCTTTTATAAAGGGCCTCACCGCTCTAACTAGTTTCGATGAGAATTTCTGTGTGTCCTCTACGTGCATAATAATTTATGCTAAATTATTACTTCCTGTGGCAGTTTTGCTCTGATGTAACTTCATCTGAGGGAGAATCCAACATCCAAAGAGTCTAAACCACCCCGACTGAGATTATCAACATTTTTATTCCTGTGGATCTACACTGCCTTCCAAATGTATTCATACCCATTGAACGTTTTCACATTTTGTCAAACTTTAATAGGTTTATGTGGCTAGTAAGTGACAAACCAGCAAAAAAGTGGTGTAATTGTGATGTGGAACTAAATGAAATATGTTTTTCACACTGTTCTAATGCAAGTGAGTAAAGTCTGGCATACGTATGCAGGTTCCAGTCTTTCAATCACCAGAAACTGATATTTTTGCCCACAGTTTGTTACTTTATAACTCAAACTCAATCAGACTGTGTGAAGTGTCAGAAAATATGTTTTCTTTGTAAATCTGGTTATATATCTCGGGTTTTTGCCCTCCTGCAAAATGAACTTCTACCTCAGTCTTAATATATTTGTATACTCTAACAGGTTACCGAGATCTTTTTTTTTGCACAGCACATTTTTAAATCTTTCAAATTTCAAGTTATATCTTCCATTTTATAGCTACTTTGTGTTGGTCTATCCCACAAAATCCCAACACATGCAGTGAAAGTTTGTGAAAAAGTTCTAGCTGTGCGAATGCATTGCGAGGCTCTGTAGGCTGAGAGCTCTGGCTCTGTGTTGTGAGACAATCTGATCTGTTTCCACAAGAAATCAGGCCTTTTGTCCTTATATGGACGGACTGTAGAAGTTCAGAGCACATGACTTCATCCATTTTCAACAGCAATAATGGTAATGGTTAGCATGTGGCTTCCACTGTGCGGCGCAGGCGATGCAGAAACCTTGCAATGTGACCGAGAACAATTTAGTTACCACTGAAATATTTCACTGTAAACACAGCCTGCTTTACTTTGAGCTGAAATAATAAAGACATTACACTCTCTGCTTGGACAAACAGAAATGCAGGAGCTCTGTTGTTATGCACTCGCTTTTCTTTTCTACATTTTTCAAAGTTTTCCTTAGCAGACTAAAAAAACCCCTGATATTCGAGTTATTCTAATTAACAAATCACTTCATGCGTGTGCTGGGCAGATGTGCTCAACATCATGCCACATCCTGAGACATCTCACTCTCTGCAAGAGAATCCTGCCACCTCCCTTCTCCCTGAGGTGTTCAACTTTCCAGCGACAATTTAACATCGTGGTGCGAGATGAGAAAATTCTCGCATCTTGAGGTGGCGTTGGCACGGCAACGCCTGTCGCCAGGACCCGGCGCTCGCGTTATGTAGAGCCAGGGAGGAAGGTGTTATGAGAGGTAGGGGCGTGCAGGAGCGTCATGCTGTTCGGAAAGCATGCACTGCCAAGGCTGACGGGAGTAGGACATGAGTGGGGATGAGTGTGTGTGTAGATGTGTGTGAGAGGATGAGAGTTTTCTATAATAAAATGTGAGCAGGCAGGTACGGCAGGAATAAATGCACAATGTGAGGAGAGTTTTTGTCGTGAGGGGTGTATATTTATGCAGAGAAACGTCATGCATGCGCGTGTGTGTGTGTGTGTGTGTGTGTGTGTGTGTGTGTGTGGGTAGGACTGAATGGGGTCAGAGAATCTGAGGCTAACATGTCCATCTGCGCTCCAGGTTGGAGACTTTGGGAGCTTTCCTCTCTCTGATCCTCAGAGCGGAGACGCTCGGATGAAACCAAACATGCACATGCTGAGCAGCTTTCACACACAGCACAGAGTCAGCTGGTTGCTCCACTTCCCCCAATGTTTCCTCCCGTATAGTCACCGGGTTGCACAAATGTGCCCGGAGCTTTGCTGCAACATAAATATTCATTTGGGATTTCTGATCAAATCTGCTGGAAAATATAAATGAATTGTTATAATTTCTATAACAGAAGAATGAATAAAATGGAGGACTGTTTTCAAATTAAGGATACTGCCTGAACAGACCTTTTGTTCGGATGAACAAATGGTCTGTTTTAGCAGTTTTATCAGATCCTCTTTCCTGTTTTCACATAATAACAAGGTTTTAGCCCTTGGAGCTTTATTAGACAGCAAGGGATCGTGATTATTTTTATATTAACATCAGGTGGAGTGTCAGAAAACAGGTCTCTAGACTGCAAAACCACAAATATTACCAATAATTTTGTTAGTTTCTAGGGCAAACACCTTAGTGCACTTGAAGTAAGAAAAACTAACTTAATAATTCTTGAATATCTTTTTCTTGTTTCAAGTGAATAAAATCTACCAGTGGAACTAATACTGTTTTTGGTCAATATTCAGGAATTATTGACTTAAAACAACCTCCTATCTTGCTGAAAAGTTACTTTTTCATTTTTCAAATGTACTATGATAGTTACATGAAAAATTACCTATCAACATTTGGTGTTTTTGCAGCGTATTTCAGTAGGAAAATTTTCCAAATTATTTGGACAAAACAACATAGATGCAATTTCCCAGTCTTGAATCCAGTTTCTTGCTTGACTATTAGAGGCCCAAGACCTAATAAAACTTGCATGAAAACTTTTGGCATTAGCTAAAAAAGACAAAGGGGACCCAGAAATCTAGAGAACATCTGCAAAAATAAATTTTTTTAAGGCTTTTTTTCACATCTTAATAAGAGGTGGCAACACTTTTTTGCCTTTCCCTAGAAATTTGTCCATTTATAGTTGAAGATAGAATTTTGCAATCAAATACCCAGGACATATTTTAGCATCCTGATTCGTGGAGCTACTGCTACCAACTGGATGAACCTGCAGAAGCTTTTGGCCCGTCAAAATTTCAGAAATGAACTGAAGCAACCAGGTGATTGTATCTCTGTTAGGGTGTTGCTCTGATGCTCCAGTGCCTTTCCTTCATCCGCCTTCACAGCCTGGCCAACCCTGATGGGATGCATCTGCTGATGGTGTCACACTCATGCTCAGTGAGATCACACAGAGGTTGACACCACATCCACGAGGCTGAAACTCTTAAAGTCTATTCACCTCACTCACCAACTCCAGCTCTTCCTCTGTCTGCGAGGCCGGTGGAAGACGAGGGGCGGGGAGGGAGGAGTAAAAGAAACAGAGGACGTTAAGTTCCTGTGAACTATTCGTGATATAAACAACTCTGCATGAAAACAGGGCCTCTGTTTTTCCAAGCTCTGCGGCTCTGCAAAACTGCAAAACGATGCTGGAAATCTGAGGAGGAATGATGAGATCCGTATTCTGGACTGCAGAAACATTAAATATTTTTAAACATCCTAAGCAGTCAGCATAAGTTAGTCTGTAAACACTGTGAGTTTCACTTCTCATGCCAGGTTGACTTGTACACTCTGTACTTTCAGGAAATCTGATAAAAATTAATTTTGTGTTCAGAGGAGTCTGTGTGAAGAAATCTCTAATGTACAACATCCTGTAATCTAAAAGACATCTACAGAAATTGATAAGAAACTTTGGTTCTTTAAACACAGGCTGATCATAAAATGTTATTTTACTTTAATGTATTAAAAATTATTTACACAACATGAAATAATTCCTATAATCAGGAAACATTGAAAAAGAAAAACATCTTCTTCCCCGTTTTCAAATGCAAGTTCTAACATCTGCTCAACCTGTTTTAGCCATGTGAATGTAAACGGACTGAAAGTGGATGTGCACGTTATCTGCACAAAAATGTTCAAACACTGCCACAAAAGCATGTGTGCAACTTATTAAATTGGAATAGCAATGGAATGTATCCTAGCTGGATAAAAAGATGTAAAGATGGTGTTTCATGCAGCTAGCTGGTAAAAATGAATTTTATCCCGTGGAACTTTTTTTTTTTCTCCTTATGCTAAAAATGTCACCTAGACGTTCACAGTAAACATGAGAGACAGAGAGCTGAGGATTCCTATCTTTCTGTATCAGGTGAGCTTCTCGGCCTCCGGCACATAGAAAAAAATACAGCTGCACACACTAATCATTAAATTGAGATGTTACAAGGTCTGATTCAAAGATCTGAATTTAAACAGCCCCAATTTCTCTGGATCCATGAAGCTTTTTAATAACCAATATTTGGTTTTGGTCCAGGAGTTGTATAAGTTAATTGCTTCATTGTTTTCTGTATCTTAAGCTGAAAATGTCAATAACAATCAAACCCCATTTTCCTGAGTCTTTTCTTTCGCTACCATGAAGCACTAAACTCATACATCAGGTGTGCCCTAAAGGAATGCTATGTTACTGAATTTTAATTGACTAAATGGAAAATCTGCAGAATATGCAAATTCTTTATCATATTAATGAATTAATCATCAGAGAAATTGATAGTATAGTATTTTAGTAAATAATTATTAGCTGCAACCCTGATATATTTTCCTAAGCTAACACTCTGTGCCAATGTGCACATGTTGTCAACCCTGAGCTAAAGAGGCTGAGGGCGGGGATCAGTATGTACTTCAGAATGTAGCGATAATTGAAAAAAAGCATTTTGCTGTTTGGGATGTAAAACATTTGCAAAGTGTTTTAAAAAGCCACAGCATTCAGCAGCTATGTCATAAACACTGTAATTGAACAAACATTTCAACAGTGAATGCTCATTAATTATTCATGAGCTAAGACGGTCTGACTACTTTGAACAAACAAAGACACAAACATATGACATTAATATCATCTAAAACAGTTTTTAGCATTACCGGTCCCACACTTAGCATCAATCCTTATTTTCTACAAACAGATTTCTAACAATTTCAAATATAATATTCTGGGTGGCAAAGAAGATGTTGAAAGCTTAAAAGGATAAAAAGAAAAGAGAAATGTTCTGTAATCCTGGTAGCCTTCCTGTTCCTGCCTACTCCCCTGTAAAGCACAGAGTGTTACAGCACAGAGTCTTCTCCTTAGTTATTGTAACTGGAACAGTCCAATATGACTTCTTAACTCTTCTCCAGATGTTTTCAGAAAGGACATAAATAGATACCTTTGACTTTGTCTGTTTTGGGCAGCAGAGTGGTCCCTCCTCAACAGCCACTGACTATGAAACATTTACTTCCATAGAATCATAAGATTGCTGTGCATCTTGCATGACTAAGAATGCACCTGCCTTTTTGGCTCCAATCCTCAACACAAAGCTGCAAGAACACAGCTTGAGCAAGGCATGACTTTATTGAACAGCATAGCCGTATGAGTCAAATCAGATGTATTCTTAGAAGCAAATAAACATTACAGCTTTCTTAGCAGTAAAACACACTTAAAAAATAGGAAAACTGCATTATACAGAACATCACTGCTGAGTTTGTCAAGAGTGGGGCTGAAATGATTAATCGGATTATTCATGAAGAGTTGAGTAATCAAATAATAGTTAACTGGAATATGCTGACTCTAAGATATGCCATTTGCTGTAAGAACAACAGTAATTAGCCCAAAACTGTACAAAAAATGTATTAAAAATTTGAGTTGAAAACTTCTTTTTGTCTGTTTGCTTAATGTTTTATTCTTTCAAAAATTGCATTTTTATAGTATTTTTTATATTGTCTAAGATAAGTATAAGTGATAAAATAAAAAATCTGCAGAATGTGTAAATGTTTTTTTTATCAAATTATTTAATTAATCTTCTGAATATTAAACAGAATACCCAATTACTAAAATAGTCATTAGCTTTAGCCCTAGTTAAGAGTAATGCAAGTTAAAGTCATTATTTTGATGCACTGAGAAGCAACCGTCTTCTCACTCACACGACTGATATTTTTTGGTTTTCAATCATTTATCAAACTGTTCTTTAATAAGATAATTTGTATCAGGATAAAGAATCCCAATGTGGATTTGGAGGTTATCCTCCGGTATCATAAAACTAGTAGTTTAGATTTAAATGGTCAGTCTGAGTCTTTTTCTCCTCACCAGCTGCAGGAGGCTCTTTCCACTCTGTGAAGTGATGACCCTCAGGTCCGGCTTCCGGCTGTTGACCAACTGAGGGCTGGGTGGAGGTGGGGACTTTGCCGGGACTACTTTTCCCAGGCTGTTGCCATTGGATACGGACAGGAGGCCCGGGGAGGCCCTGGCGCTGATGTAGCCATTAGCTGCAGAGACGCAGACACACAGAGGAAAATAACAGCGAGGTTTAGTGAAGAAAAAGGGTGGGAGGAAGTTTTGTTTTGGTCGGCTCTGATGTTTTCAGTGTCTGCCTCTACCTGTGAAGTGTGTCTTGTCTGCCGTCGTTGGTGTGTTTGCCTGTCTCATTAACACGTTGGAACCCTTTTGTCGCACCACATGCTTCTCATCATTTCTGCAGCTCAAACATTGCTTTTTTCTGGTGGCTCTCTGATTTTCTACAGCTCCTTCACATCAAAATCATGCCATGCTCTCTCCAGAACTATTTTATTTCTGCTCTCAGTATTTGTCTCTCTCTCCTGTCTCGTTCCACTCAACTCAGCTTGGTGTAAACAAAAACACATAATTGTCTCTGGGCTCTTTCCATCTTGCATGGTAAGAAAATATCTTCTCTAACAAGTCAGTTTCATGGTCATTAAACCCTGGAAGAAATATTGTCTCTGAAAAAGCAAAACACAATCATTTATGAAAGTTTATTGTTTATCTGCATAATTATGAACTGGAATTACAAAGTGTGTAGATTGAAATCAGTGATTTGAAATGTAAAAAAATCCTTTACAATTCAGCAAATAATTGAATAATCCAGAGCATTTTATGCTTCGATTTCATGGTTTTGGTAACATAATGCAGATTTAAATGAATATTTTTTAAGAAAGCCACATTTTATGTAATGACTTTTAGCTACGTGTAGGCCAGTAGAGATTATCACTGTATGCTAACCTTGAAAATAACAGACACACCATGTCACAGTACTTGGATAACAATTTAAAAACTAATTTACAACATAAGTATGTATAACATACAATTACTTTTAACAAAAATGGAAGATGTTGCTGTCTGCAGCCGACAATAACCTAATCAGCAGAAGTCCACTAGATAAGAAAAAGGAAAATTGTTGGTTATTTATACAGCTAAGAGCCACAACATTCGCTCTCCACAGAGAAAGTTAGGCAACTGCACAGCCAGGCAGCCTTGAGGTGGCCAGTTATTGGTAACGTTTGCCTCTTGGGTTGAATTAATTTGACTGCAAGGATCTTTTTTTTTTTTTTTTTTTTTTTTTTTTTTTTTTTTAAAAAAAAAAAACCCTTAAATTTAAAAAATAAAATTTTATTT